ATGAACTTTTAGTAAATCGCTCTCCTAGAAGTTGAGGTTCCTGACCTGAGCAACCTATGCAAAATGATTTGAATGTGATCTCTTCAAATGGTAGGTCTTGTGAATGGGAGTGAAAAAGAGGTTTAACCGATGATAAGGCATTCAAATACGATTAAGTGTTTAAGAGTTCTCACGAGGGTCAGCAAGATGAGTCAATGGGTAATGGCGACTGCTGCCAAGCCTAAGTTTAGACCCTAGCACACACAGACATACCTTTATAATTCCATCACACAGTCAGGCAGATTCCTAAAGCTCTCTGGCCAGCCAGTCTAGCTGGACCAGTAACTTTAGGATCAGTGAGACCTGTCTCAAAGAATAAGGTGGAGAGTGACAGAGAAAGGGACTCAACACTGATCTTTGATCTCTATATCTGTATACAAAGCAGCTCACAAATATATATATACAACACATGTGCCTACATACACATGTCTCACGGAGATTAACATTCATCCATAAAAGGACAACAGCTTTTTCATCATACCAATTGCCACCTAAAACTAACTACTAATAGCAACTACAACAACTAGCAACTACCCATAAATGTTACCTTTGTAAATGTCCAAAAAAGCTCTGTAGTGTACCTTAGGGATCCCACTGGATGACAAACCAAGGAGCCATATTAGAAAGGTAAGATAAGTTTCATTTGCTTACATCACACTTCACCCAAAACAGCTCTGCACCACATAGATAGATGATTCTTCTGGGCTCCCTGTTCCTACTATAGTGGAAAAACAAAGCTGGGGGTAGACTATAGATTCATAATCTCTCTAGCATCTGATACTTCTTTGTAGAAGGTCTTACCCCATGGGAGACACTGAGGGTGGCGGGGACAGTCCATCTAGAATCAGAAGGAGGATGGTGAGGGTCACAGAAACAAGCAGAAGGGTTTTAGTGACAGATCTGCATTCTGGCCAGTGAAGATGTACCACCAGAAAGAACTTTCCTCTGTGTAAACTGATTCATCTCAGGTATGAAATTTTAAAATCACAGTGTTTGCTAGTTATACTCCTTGGTCTTTGTTTGCCAGAGACTATGAAACCTAAAATTTTTCAAACATACAAACAAAATCTTTTTTTGCTTAGCTGGAAGTGGTATCATTTTCACTGAGAATGGATGTGTTTCAGGGAAGGGGATTTGTTAAACAGATTGAGCACAAAGGGAAAATTAAGCATTTCAAACTAAATTAAATACCATTTACATTAGGAACAAAAAGTACAGAATACTGAAAACCTTGACAAAAACCATACTCAGTGGAAAGTATAAAATAGTGGCAAAAGAAACTAAAACTTACCTACTTAAGTTAAAACTTATCATGTAAGCTAAAAACATCTAAATAGTATGCTTTACCTAGCAATCCTAGAGATTTTTAACTTTTGATAATTGTATTTTGATGCTAAATGATGAAACAAATATTTTTCTACTAACTTTACAAGACTGCTATTTGAGTAAAACATTTTTAAAAAGCTTATACATATGTCTGTCTCTGAAGTCAATTTTTGTAAGTAACACTAATTTCTACCACTGTGGATAATAATTATAATAAAATAAATATAATAATAATTTCTACTGGTAGAAAAAGTTTTCCTGTAAGTATGAATCAGACTTATCTCTGAAATGGGGTACCATCAATATTTCACATTAAATTATTTGAAAAGTATAATATGATATCAAATTCTTATAAACTTTAAGGAAAGACATTTAATTATTATTTTAGTCATGTAAATCAAGAAAAACAATTAAAGTCAGGAAGGCAGCTGGGCTGGGTGGTATACACCTATAATCCCAGCACTCAGGGAGGCAGAGGAAGGCAGATCTCTGTGAATTCAAGTCCAGCCTGGTCTACAAAGTCAGGACAGCCGAAGCTACACAGAGAAACTCTGTCTCAAAGAAACAAACAAACAAATCAGGAAGGTATCCAAAATCCCTCAGAACTTTGGGAGAATCCTAAATTGGGTTAGAGAAAGGCTCTGAAGCTCACTGATGTAGCCGAACACATTTACAACAAAAGTATAATGCTAGTGCTGAAGCTAGCAGAATTTGTTCAAAGTTGTACATCTAAAGTGATAAAGAAAATTTGTTCAAATGTTCTTTATACTATAAATACCAATATATCTTTAATTTTATTTTACTTACCCTTAGTGGTTTAATAGTTTCTTTCATAAGTAACTTTTTATTTTTCCAAAAGTTTTCTATTTCTGTTGTAAAACAACAAATTATCTATCTTTGTTAAGTTACAGGTGTAAGCAGTACTTTTCCTTTCTTTCCTCCTATGAAAATTCACTTCAGATACAGCAATGAAAACAAGCTCCTATTCTTGCCACAAGAAATGAAGCAGGCAACAAAGCACAACCAAAATAAGCAAATAAATTAAATAAATAAAGAGCAGTCGTTACTCATCTCATGCTGCCAGGACAAGGCTCATATCCTAAACTGTTCATTGCCGTAAGACCAACATCTAGCTATGGAGTTATTATTCAATAAGCATGCTTAAGGCTTGAATTTGATCCCCAGACAATACAACCATCAACAAATTACACATGTAATAAGCTTCCATTTATTTGGTCAAAAGCTTTCAAATTGTCTCAGCTATCTCCTCATGGCAAATAACATGAATATATGCTTCTTAAATTCTAGCTTTTATTTAAGATAAACTAGTTTAAAGAAAGTTACTGTGTAGCTGTTCAAAAAAATGTAAACTTCAGGATTTACAAGAGAAACTTGTAAGATTATATATAGAATCAAATTTTAATTTACACACAACTTAAAAACATAAAATTGTGCTGCAGTGACGGCTCAGTTAGTAAGTTGCCTTATTTGAGTTAGAGCCCCAGCAGCTACACAAAAGCCAGGGCTGGAGGCAAGCATCTGCAACCCCAGGCAGTTCTGGGTGGTTAGAGACAGGAAAGTCTCTAGATTAGTGAAAGACCCTGCCCCAAAAAATCAGCTGAAGAGCTACCTGCGGAGACATCTAGTGTCAATATCTAGCCTCCACAAGCAAAGAGACACATGCTCACACATACCATATACACACTTGCACAAAGAAACTTTTAAAAACATGAAATCTGAATTTCAAGCAGTATTCTTCTTCAACACTTAATCTCTGTTATCACCAGGAACCTGTTACAGTCTTCCTCAAAGAAAGGCCACTGACATTTCTTATGGTGCTAATGACGACCAAAACCAAGACTCAATTTTTTTTTTTCAATTTAAGGTACTTTAATTATATAAAGTATAGAAGCAATGGCAGCTACGAGCTTAGTAATGATGAAGAAATTAGCCACACCAATTAGATCTCCAAGAGTCTCATTAAATACAAAATGGTAGCATTATCAAAAACCAAACAGAAAGGTGTACTTTTGTTCCTCTCTGCTCGTACATCTATAACCTGTAGCTATTTTCTGTGCTAAGAAGAGTAGACTTGCTAAGATAGCCTAATTAGGTAAGGTGAACCATGCACTCCATTTAAAATAAATACATCCTGAATTAGGTGTGTGTTCTCCAACTAAATATAAACTGAGGAGCCGTTACTTAGAAAAGGTTTAGGGGAAAAAAAGTTATGATAATAGTCTCTAGGTAAATACTTTATGCTCTTAGAAATCAACCATTTTAGCCAACAATGCAAATATATTCAGATAACCTGAATTAAAAAAAAAAAAAACTAGGTAAGCTTTTAAATATCTGCCAACATTAAGCGGTCACAGTAATCAATGAAAGGAAAAAGAAAAATCAGAGTTCAAGATGTGCTTGGAGTATATGCTTTTTTATCATTACAAAAATATTCTAGATCTTCTGTCTTGGTGTTGTTAGAGTAGCTTTAGGAGTCATGAGACTCTTCCATGTCACTCTTAGCACAGGGAAACATTTGCTTCCAGAATATAATTATAAATTAACGAAATTATTTTGTCTTATTAAATTATATTCTTTAAGCAAGTTTAACAAGTTAAAAAGATCAGCCTTGGCCATAAAACAAGACCCCATTTTAGAACAGTCCTACATAGATGAGAGAAAGAAAATTACCCTTATGCCTTCTGCATCTTCTTTCTATACTTTCCAACATGTCAGCCTTGACTATTACATCTACTGTATTCCCAAAGTTTTCAAACAATCAGTCCCTCACAAGTGAGTCTAATCAGAAATCAAAAGTCTCTGTGTCTACCTACCTACCTATATAGAATCACACAAATATGAAACACAAAAATGAAAAGACTATTTGAGAAGAGGAAGGGTTGGGAAGGATAGGAAAAGGTAACGGAGAGTAAATAAAATCAAAGTACATGATTTACTTAAACAAATGTCATTAATGAAGCCCATTATTTTGTATGGTAAATATACACTAATAAAAGGTCTTCATAAAAATCTCACTAGTTATTTAGAGAAGTCACATCTGATCTCATAATCAAGTTAGAGACATTTTAACTTTATAGAAATCTTTTCTGTCAAGTTTTAAAAAGAACCCTCAAATCGAAAATAATTATGAGATGTCATATTTGCAATTTGCTTTCAAACTGTGGTTCAGAAAAAAAAAGTATATTATCTACAATCTTTCCCCTTCCCTCTCTCTTTCTTTCTGAATGAGAGTAAACAACAAGATGTTATCAATGGTAAACCACAGGAAGGATATATTAGCCTTCAGAGTATTTTTTTTTTCAACATTCTTGTATTTGAAATTTTCAAAGCAAAAAAGTTCAGAGAACAAAAACCTTTCAACCTGCTTCCAGGAGTTGTGGGTTTTCAGATAGTAATACACACACACACACACACACACACACACACACACACACACACGCAGAAAGAGAGAGAGAGAGACGTCCAGCATACCCTTTTGGTCTCAAGCAAGACTCTCCTGCCTTCACTATGCAGAATTGTGCTTTTAAACAAAAACATACAAACAAAATCACAATACTAGGAAATGCTTTTTAAAGTAAGTTTAAAAGTTGGTATAAGTGAATTAATTGTTTTACCTGAAAGTTAACATCTTCTTTCTTAAATATTAGTGCTCGAACTTCATCTGGATCACCATTAAATATAGCTTGCACCAGTGATGGCTAAAAAAAATAAAAAAATAAAAAAATAGAAGTAACAAAACATTAAACATATCATATGTATAGTTTTAAAGTTTTCTGCATAGCTTCTAGATCTAACGTTTTTTTTCTCCCCTGTAGCCATAATCTTTTTAAGGGGTTAGAGAACATAAATCAGACATTTCATGCAGTTTAATCATATCAAAGCATAGGGTTCATCCTAGGGATGGATGGTAATAAAGAAGCCTACTTAATAAATTTATTCAAAAGTAATTTGACCCAAACTAAGTAATATAAAGCACTAATTTTAATTCTTACGTGAAAACCTTTTACCTATATATGATGAAAAGACATACAAATATAAGCCTGATAATTCAAATCTATTTATGAGCTAGAACCAATCAAATAAGCAATTCCTAGTCCATAGAGAGCTATGAAAGATGGAGATTCTGAAAAGGTCTATTCAGGGCATAAAAATAATATGCATGCAGTATAATGATAGAAAGAAAACTTGGCAACTGGTGAAAAATTGCTATTCAAAGACCAAAACATAGTATATATCTGAATAACAAGAAAAGACAAGCATATGCATGTCTAAATATAATTTCCTGATCAACAACATAGCCTCTGCAAGGTATCATATTATACTGGCCAAATAAGGAGTTAGTTTACAAGTGTTTTAAAATAAGGTTAAGGATATAGCCTGATTCTTTTTAATAAATATAAAGAATTTATGTAAAATTCTTTATACAAAAGGCTATGTCTTGATGTTGCTGGTAGTAACTCAACCTTTTAAAAAATATGCACAGTCCTTGATTCTTCTTAATTCTAAAACCAAATGAAAACAAGAGCATGTTTTTATAACTACTTCTGAGTTTATTTTCAAGTCCCCATAAGGAGATGAACAGACAATGAAGTCTAAAGTAGAACTTAAGCATTTGAAAAAGAAAAATTCACAAATGCACTAACTATACATGCAAATAACATTGCATCATACAGACCCACATACTGCCTGAAGTTTTTAATGAAACTAGTAAAAAACTAATTCAGTGTATTCTTACAAAACCAACTTTACATAACTAGCTCAATAAAATACAAGCAACAGAAACTCTCATAGCTTACCAACACATTTCCAGAAGGTGGAGAATGTGGAGATTTACTTTCCTGGGGCAATTTAGAAATGAATATAGGAGAATCATCTTCTATCTCCTCCAAAACAACAATACACACTCGACTCATTCGCTCTTTTAAAGCATTAAACTCCAAGCTATGTGATAAAAGTCACGGTGCGAAGAGCACAAGTAGTTTTTCCTCCTCTTCTGTATACCACTCATAAACATTCTCTGAACAGTGCAGCTGGTTTTAAAGAACAAAAACCTACTTTTTTTTTCTGCCAGGTTACTGCAGTCTATAAAAAGTTTCACATCAATGTCTCAATAATTAAAACTCAGTCTAGGACTAGTTCTTTTAAGTATATTTTCTTCCATCAAAATAGTTACATTGAGCTCCGATATTTACTTGTACAAAACAATCATTGTTTTGGGTAACACACCATAAAGAATGAAATTAGCAACAACTGCTGTGACAGAGGTAGTCACAGATATTTCCCACTCTTGTCTGCAAGGTCATATAGTTACCAGTAAGCTGGGCGGCCTGTAGCTGAAAACAAAAACCAGAATCTCACTATTCTGTTTCCACTTCTAATTTGTCTTCATTTTCTCAGCTTCACTGACTTCATGCAGATAACATCCAAGAAACAAACAAATAAAAAGACACAGAATTGAGCATAAACCTGAAAACGAGGCTCAGAGGCTGACAAGTCTGTGATTAGGAAAGAAAGAAAAAAAGAAAAACCAGTACTCTGCATTAGCAGCAAAGCTGCGGCACATTTACATGTGATGAGTCAGATCACAAGAGACAATAGGACTACTGGTACGAGAACACAAATTGATTAATCCAGACTTCCCAATAACAGACAAAACACAGATAGTTTTATCCCATCAGTAACATAGACAAGGCAAAGCTTCCATTCTTTCTCCATCAGGCAGTTGTTTCTGGCAGCCCAGTAAAAAGGCACAGACACCAGGCAGAAATGGTGTCAGTGGAGAATCCTAATAGAACAAGCAGACAGCAAAAGAATCAGAAGACCTTTGAGCTCCAATTACTGCTTCAGGTTTTCATTTTAAAAAGAGAAGGGAAGAAAGTAGTTTATCACTCTAGTATTCTCTTTGATCTCTACATGAATACAGCTTCCATTAAACAGTCTTCATTCAGAGGAAAAAACTGTGCATCTTCTCGGAGCCAACTACTTTATTTCAATCATCTGCCTCTGTGCCAATATAGTTTCCTTCCCTGGTGAAAACCGCTACAGTTAAGCTTTTCAGTTGATTTCAGATGCTTTCCTGTTCCTCAGATGATCTTGCAAAATGCCGCTGATATCCTCAAATGAGTAGGCCCTTGAGAAATATCTACACAACCTCAGGATCAGTCCCGCAGAAGCATTTCAACCAAGCAACAGTCTGAAGAGCAAAGACTGCAGACCCGCAGGATGAAATGCCTAGTAATGCTCACATGTTACACTTACCAGAGAGCCGAGCGACTGCTCAGGATGTAACTTCCTCTAGCAGGAGAAAAAAATAGTGCATTTGGACAGCTTCACAATTAGAAGGTTCATGCCAGTTCTGTGACTAATCCAGATCAAACTGAAAAATTCTATAACTGAAAAAATAAGTGTGCTTTTAACATTTTCCACTAAAAGCCACAAGGAAATCTGGTGTACTGCCTCTGCTGACTAACACTGGTTTTAGCAAGTAAACAATTCCAAATAGCTTAACTGCTTTTGTACGCACAGTATAGCAAATGTTTAACTCTATGATAGCAGCTGCAGTAAGAATGTCTGTAGTACTCATAAAAGAGATCTCAAGAGGGACAAGAAATATTCTGACTACAAAAAACAAACAAACAAACAAACAAAAAAAACCACAAACCTAACTTAAGGTGGACTGCTTTTATTTTTGCTAAGACCTTTTTTCTTTCCTTCTTCCTCTCCTCCCTCTTCCCCTTCGGATGTGTGTTATTTTCTAGAATGAAAAGAGGTTCAAAGGAAACACATATAAAGCTTGCTATGATTTCTAAGTTAAAAGAAATGAATCATTTACCAACTCATACTTTTTTAAAGCAAAAATTTAAAACTTCATAATGGTAGAAATTTTAATGTTAATATTTTATGAATCATTTGAATTTTCACTAAAGAAAAACTCATTAAGCAGCTGAATAAAACAATTATTTAAAGTTCTTGTCCTGAATTACCCACATGTCAAAAAACCACAGAATCTTAAAAAGAAAACAAACAAACCACTCCTCTTTCCCGATAAAATAAAATTCCAAAAAGCTACAATTAAGTTGAAAACCAACCATTTGGGGGCTGGGTTGTCGTACTTGTTTGCCATGCAACAGGCCATGGCTTTTATCTTAAGCACTGCACTGCAAACAAAACCACACAAACCACTTTGGTGCTGGCTTTCAATACCTGATTCTCCTTTTGACCCAGACTAAGCATATTTCCCAACTGCAAAGAAATACTATGTCCCACGTTGATCATTTCGTATTCTTATAAGTGACCTCATGCTATTTTTGGGTCTTTAAGATATGCTGGTGGCTGGGTGTGGTGGCCCACGCCTTTACTCCCAGCAGTTGGGAGACAGAGGCAAGCAAATCTCTTGAGTATAAGGCCAACCAGGTCTACACAGTGAGTCCAAAAGAGCCAGGGAAACCCTGTCTGGGAAAACCAAAAGAGATATACTGGGTGCTGTACACCCCCACTTAAAATCTCCTACAGTCTCATTTTATACAGGAAAAAAAAAGAAGCCCAGATATTAAGTATTTTACCCAGCTATCCAAATGACTAAAATGCTAACGCCAAAAACATATTCCTATAACCACTAAGATTTTTCTAACTTTAATTCTATATTGTAAAATTGGTCATTAAAGAAAATCTCTAACAACTGTTGAACGTTTAGGTAACAAAAGAGCATTATCTATTTGTGAATAAGTTTTTTTTCTTTTGTTTTGTTTTTGGAAACAGGGTAGCCCTGGCTGTCCTGGAACTCAGAAATCCACCTGCCTCTGCCTTCTGAGCACTAAAGTTAAAGGCATGTGCCACCAAGCTGGTGTGAATAAGTTGTTTTTAAATGAGCATTTCAATTTCAAAATGAGCATTTTGAGCCTTTAAGATATGCTGATATACGGCTGGGTGCCGTATCTCTTTGTTTAAGCCAATTTACTTAGTAAATCACAAAGAAAAAAACCCACTTTAACATAGGTAAGAATGTAAAAAACTATAAACAAAAGTTACTGAAAATTATAATAGACTTATCTACAGAAAAAACAATATTAACATGTGCTCAGTGGTTATTTCACTTCTGTGTCGAGGAAGGAAGGGCTCTTGCTGTGTGGCTCAGGCTAGTCTAGAACTCCTGCACTGAACAGATCCACTAGCTTCAACCTCCTTAGTAGATGGACTCTAGGTACATGCCAAGTCTGCTTCTATAGTTACTTTAAAACACAGAAAATTAAAAAATCCTGAGGATGAGGAGGAGGAAAGGTGTAAAAGTCAGAGGGGATAAAGGACACCAGCAGAACAATGCCCCCTGGAGCTCACAGACACTGAAGCAGTGAGCACAAATGGTAGCTATTCCCTTAGTAATTTTATGGGACTCCTAACTGAGAACTCTGACTCTTGTGCCTGCTCTGGGACTCTTTCTGTTGGATTGCCATGTCCAACTCCCATATGGCAGTTTTTGCTTCATTATATTATATTTTACTTTGTCATGTTTGGTTGTTATCTCTTAAAAGCCTGTTCTTTTAATTTGTTTGGTTTTTTGTTTTTTGTTTATCGAGACAGGGTTTCTCTGTGTAGCTTTGGTTGTCCTGGACTCGATTTGTAGCCCAGGCTGGCCTTGAACTCACAGAAATCTGCCTGCCACTGCCTCCCCCAGGCTTCCCTAAGTGTTAGGATTACAGGTGTGAGCCACGACGTTTAGCTAGAAGCCTGTTCTTTTCTAATGAGAAAAAGAAATGGAGTGGATCCAGAGAGGAGGGGAGGTACACTCTTGTAATCCAGCCCTAGACCTTGTCCAAAAACCAAACCAATAACCTACAAACACAACAAATGTTAGGGAGTATAAGGGTGCGGTACCCTTACACACTGTTGATGATGTTACGCTAGCTCAGTCACTATGGAAATCAACATGAAGGTTCCTCAAACATTTAAAACTAGAACTACCGTATGATTCATCTATACCACTCTGCATATAACAAGGCACTGCAAATCCATCATTATCACAGCACTAACAACAATAGCCAAGCTACAGAATAAGCCCTTCAACAGTTAAAGGGGGGATTAACTGATGAATTATGATCACAAGGATGCAGAAAGGAGGCTGGTTTTCATAGGGAGATTAATAGGACACATTTGAAGATAAAATTTTCATTGTATTTGGTCAAAATTAATAAGTATTTTTTTCCTATTTCATATTCTCAAATAGTTTTTTTATTTTTGACATTTTTTATGTCAGTGGCATCTGTACGGTGGTTTCCTTCAGTATGTTTTAAATGTTTTACTTCCCATCCTTTAAAAAAAAAAAAAACCTCTAGAACCCTCAAAGTATTTCCCATTATTGGTGTGTTGTGAATAATTTGTACTGGTGGGAAAATTAACTCTGGAAGAAAATAATAAGGTTAAACTTTTCTGTGTAACATGTAGCTTGGTACTGGATGCCTACTTAGCCAACCACCATTAACCTCTCCCTTCTTATAGACTTGCTGCAGTTTTGTTTGGATGTCACTTCTATATTCCACATGACTTGGAGAAAAATCTTGAAGAGTGTAAGGTGATCATGGCAATTCTGGTCTACCTAGTCAGTGACTCATTTGGAAAATAACATGAAATCTGAGCCAGCTTACTGTCACATGCCAGGGAAAGTCAGCTGTAGTGTTTCTAGGAAAGTCTTTTTTTTTTTTTTTTTTTTTCCCTTCCTTTAAAAAGGGACAGACGGGGAGACAGAAAGACCTGGAGGGGACAGGCGCTCCACAGGAGAGCAACAGAACCAGGAAATTGGTTCTGTTGAAAAGCCCAAGGGTCTTTTCTGAGACTGATACGCCAACCAAGGACCACATATGGAGATAGCCTAGAACTGCTGCACAGATGTAGCCCATGGTGGGTCAGTCTCCAAGTGGGT